ATATAAACAAAATACTCTAGCTCAGGGCTGTCATATGCTTGGCCGGTGGGCCAAATGTGTCACACCCTGGCCATGCCCATGCCCAGTTTAGCGAAGGGGGAGGAGTCCTAATGTCATGTGACACTGCCATGATGATGTGAGTTTGACACCCCTGCTCTAGATCAAGGGTGTCCAATCTTGGCACCTTTCAGAATTATGGACTTCAGCTCCCAGAATTCCCCAGACAGACAATTCTCCATGCTGCCTGGGGAATTCTGGGAGTTAAGTCCATAAGTCTTAAAGTTGCCTAGATATTCCCATTCTAAGGACAGCAATTTACTATTTATCTCACCTTAACTGTGCATTTCTAAGGGTTTCTTTTTTATATTATACTAACTCATTTTATATTATACTAACTCAATTATTTTAAGTGAGCCAAAACAATGCATCCTTCACTTCACCCCTCCTATTCTCAACCCTGAATTATTTGTTGCTAGTGAACACTTTGTTATTGCAACATATAAATGTAGCCACTAGTGTTAGATACATTTTATCTCTCGGACTTTGATTGCTTTTACTATCTCTCCTCCTTCTCTCCCCAGAGACCTCTCCCAATTTCTTCCTCCAGGGATTTGAGTTGGCTCCTCACCATAGAATTATCTCTTCTTCCAGTGATGAAATATCACCTTTCAGCCTTGACAATGTCACAACAGATTCAATGGGAATTCTCCTTTGGGTGAATGTAGGAATGCCCCCAGATGGCTGCCTCCTTCTGGCCCTGGGTCCTTAGAGATTCCACTGTTACTTTTTCTGGCCCTGGCAATCATCATCACTCTGAATCCAGGATCTATCAGATTCCATATTTTCAGGATTCAACCTCTGTTTATTGGCTGAAATTGTCCTCATTAGTGCTGTGATGATGAACCTATGGCACGCGTGTCACAGGTGGCACACGGAGCCATGTTTGCTGGCTTGCATGTGCACACCAGCCAGCTGATTTTCAGCCTTCCAGAGGACCAAGGAGGCCATTTTTGCCCTCTCCAAGATTCAGGAAAGCCTCCGGAATCTGGGGAAAGGCAAAAAACAGGCCCAACAGGCCAACTGGAAGTTTGTTCCCAAGCTTCCAGTTGGTTCATTGGGGCCATTTTTCACCCTCTCCAGGCTTCAGAGCTTGGAGAGGGGTTGTGTGTGCATGCGTGGGGAGGGGGGTTACGCGCACATGCACAGGTGGACAGGCTCGCCATTACTGCATTAGTGCATCTAGTCATTAATTTCCAATTGGTAAACAGGATCCCTGATCCAGAGACTATGGAACAGGGGTGTCAAACTCAAGTCATCACATTGTTGTCATGTGACATATCACGACTTTTCCCCCTTCACTAAACCGGGGGATGGGGGTGGCCAGCGCTTGACGCATCTGGGCGAAGGGCCACAAGTTTGATACCCCTGCTATAGAGAAGCCCTAACACTCCTGATGATTGTTCCCAGCAGTTTTATATAGTTCTAAATTGGAATGTATTCCAACTATGGTGCTGGAGAAACCTTCTGCGAGTCCCTTGGACTGCAAGATGATCAAACCGGTCAGTCCTAGAGGAGATCAACCCTGATTGCTCTTTAGAAGGCTAGATCCTGAAGATGAAACTCAACTACGTTAGACACCTAGTGAGAAGGAAGGACTCACTGGAGAAGAGCATAATGCTGGGAACGATTCAGGGCAAAAGGGGACCACAGAGAATGAGGTAGCTGGATGAAATCACAGAAGCAGTAGGCGTGAGCTTAAATGGACTCCAGAGGATGGTAGAGGACAGGAAGGCCTGGAGGAACGTTGTCCATGGGGTTGTGATGGATCAGACACAACTTTGCAACTAACAACTGTAGGAAGTTAAAACCCACCCCTCTACTAGAAAACTGAAATATCTTGGGCAGTATTAAGAAGGCAGAATATTATATTTCCCTGTGGAAAGGGAGAAACATGTTTTTAAAGACAGAGTAGCTCCCTGCAGCTCCTGCCCCCCCCTTCCGCTTTGTCAATGAGCCATTAAAGCCTGAGCTGGTCTACTTTACATAATAAAGGTAGGATCAGCCTTCCACAGAAACTCACATGGCATCTGGAAACTCAATCAAACTTGGGACTCAAAACACAGCCTACAGTGGTGCCCCTGTGCATGGACCCATGGGAGTCTCACAACCAATCGGAATACATTCCTTACACAGGAACAAGAAACAGAGAGGTGGGGCCGAACAGATTATAAAAAACCCCAGAAAACCCCTTCTTTTGCCTCTTCTCTTCTTCACCCAACATCTGGAAGCATGTGACCCATTTCTGTTCAGGAACTCAAACCATGTTATCCTATCTACCATTAAACCATATTTCCAAGCAGCATACATGTCTCCAGTGTCTTTTTTCTCCACTTGGAGCTGAACCCAGAAGGACATTTCTTCCACCACAACAAAAATACATTAGTGCCTTGTGGTAATCAGAATTAGCAAGGTGAACAGACCAGTTATCCGTTGCTATTCTCTAAGATCACAGGCACAAATAGGAGTGCAACACAAAACGCCATTGAAGAATACTATTTGATTATAGCAATCTTCCTCAAATTGTTACCATCTTTTGCGTGAGACGCAAGCTCCCTGACCTTTGCATGGGCTTTTTGCACAAATCAGCTAATTCAACAAGGGACTGCCTCATATCCCAGGGATGAAAGGGACTCCAAACAAAGCAAGGCTCAGCTCCCCCCGTTTCCGATTTTATGAACTTCAAAGCAGCGAAAAACCCGAAATGGTTAAAATTTACTCCCCAGAGGTTTAACATTTTCTGAGTTCCCACCAGCTCGATTGTCAGATGTTAAAACATGGAGGAAAAATGATATTGACGTAAGAATCAATGCTATTTCCGGTTTTGGCAGCGTCTTAAAAAATGCCAACAATCTCCTGGCTTGCCCGCAGGTAAGCAGGCTAAGCCTACAGGTTGCAGCGATCCATCGCTCTTGCAATGCAACTTAAGCCATCTCTCTCCTCGTCGCTGCTGGCCAGATACCAACAGGGGGAAAGAAACAGGCACAAAGGAGCGTTGAGCTGCGTCTCCCGAGTTACTCCTGCACGGGAACTGCACGGAGGGAAAGAAGCGAGACTCCCTCCGCGCAGACCCGAGCCCGCAGGTCGGAGCAAGGGAAACGCCCCGCCCTCAGCCCAGAAGAGGCGGGGTCGCGGCTTATTGGGCCGGAGCCGGAAGCCTGGAAGGCTGGCTCATGCCGCGCGAGGAGGCGGGCGATGTGGCAGGTCGGTGCATTTGTTTTGTCTCGCGTTGTTACTTGGTTCAAAGGCTGTTAGCGGCGATCTCCGGCGGGAATGCTCGTTTGCGCTCTAAAAAGCTGCTTTGTCGGGGAGAAGGGATGCTGGCCAAGGGGTCGTGCCCGGAGACTTGGAAAAGGCCCTGGCGCTGCGTGCCAGATGAAATACAAAGGAACGTGGTTAAAGAGGCATCGTTTCGAAAGCCACGAAAAGTAGCGGAGCGCTGCACCCCTAAATAGCAGCATCAGCTTCTGGAATGGCAGGAGTCTGCCCGCGAATTGCCTGAGACAAAGCAAATGGGCTTCATTTTTCTGGTTCGGTCCCAAAGTCGTGTCTGAGTCTTTGCGACCCCATGGACTAGAGCAGGGGTCTCCCAACCTTGGCAACTTTAAGCCTGGAGGACTTCAACTCCCAGAATTCCCCAGCCAGCTTTCCTTCTGGGAGTTGAAGTCCTCCAGGCTTAAAGTTGCCAAGGTTGGGAGACCCCTGTACTATAGCACATCAGCTCCCTCCTTCCCCCACTATTTCCCGGATTTTGCACAAATTCGGGTTCATTGCATTGATGGTCCTATCTAAGCAATGGGTGGAAACTGGTCAAGGAGAGAAGCAACTTAGAACTTAGGAGAAATTTCCTGACAGTTAGAACAATTAATCAGTGCAACAACTTGCCTCCAGAAGTTGTGAATGCTCCAACATTGGAAGTTTTAAAAAAGATGTTGGATAACCATCTGTCTGAAGTGGTGCAGGGTGTCCTGCCTGAGCAGGGAGTTGGAGACTAGAAGACCTCCAAGGTCCCTTCCAACTCTGTTATTCTTTTCTAACCATCTCATGTTCTGCCTCCCACTTCTCCTCTTGCCTTTAATCTGTCCCAACATCAGGGTCTTTCCCAGTGAATCTTCTCTTTTCATTAGTTGGCCAGAGTACTTGAGCTTCAGCTTCAGTAACTCTCCTTCCAAAGCATCTAATTTCCTTTAGGATTGATTGGTTGATTTGATCACCTTGCCGTCCAAAAGACTATCTCAAGAGTCTTCTCCAAAGCCACAACTAGAAAGCAAAGTGTGCTTAATATGGCACTCCTAGCCAAGTTTGCTTAGAAGTGAGTCTCAGCATGTTCATGAATACCTGTTTGCTCTTGTGGGATCAGTCTGTGCCACAGTGGACTGACTCTCCTTCTGGCATCTTTGTGTGGCTTCTGGTAGTGTAAAGAGTGCCCGCATTACACTACCGCAGTTTGGCTCATCAACTAAGTAGGATGTTCTGTTTGTTAAAAGTATTATAAAATCAGAATACATATTTGGTTGTATGATGCATTTTTTACAAGATATAATGCTGAAAAATACAAGGGGCAAGATTGCCCACTAAAGAAGGATGGCTGATTAAAAAAATATATATTAACTGATCCAATCACCAATTAATTATCCATCAGCCAGGTAGTCCAGGGCAGGTAATCAAACCCCTGAGCACTACAGGTATCTTTATTGTAAGGTTACATACTGTAACACTGTTGCAAGGCTGAAAGTTCATCCCCCTACATTTCAGAGTACTAGAGAGGATCATTTCAGAGATGTTTTCTCTATGGCCCTTCCTGCTTTAGACTCCAATTTCTCTTACTGTGACATATTGTTGTCTAGGTTGCCTATGGCTCTTCCTCCTGTCTCTGAAGGTTATTCTCACAGACATTACATTGTCTCCTACTGCTTGTCTGTGGTCTGGTAGCCTGCTGAGTAACGATGGGAATATTTTGATCTACTATTAGTTCCCTCACAGCACCGCACAATCTTTCTTCCGAACATGATCTTTGAGAGGAAAAGGTTTCTTCTCCTCCTACTGTGTCCACATATACAAAGAGGTAAGATTTGTTGAATTCAGTGAACAGATTGATCATATTCTGAGCTATATTAGTGGGTCCCTGTAACATACATGTTTAGTCAAAAATTTGTTGAGCAGGAATCCGTTGCATTTAGAAGAGTTTTTCCTCAAGCAACTGGGCATCAGATTACAGCCTAAAATTTAGTGTTCACATTTTAATATTGTTCTTAACCACATAGTTAAGGATAGGAATGTGGCACCTATGACCTTCCTGATGTTGCTTAAACACTAGTGTCCTCAGTCAACATAATCAATGATAAAAGATCCACCATGCTTCCCCTATCCTGGCCACAGGCCCCATTGTCTAGTTGTATTTCACCAGCCAGGAACATACTATTATACCTTCCTGTGCCCCTCCTCCATATTTTTTTCACTCAGAAATTTCATCTTTCTTGAGAGCCAGTTTGGCCTAGTCTAGTGGCAAAGGCACTACTAGACTAAAAACTAGGAGACCGTGAGTTCTAGTCCCACCTTAGGCATGTAAGCTAGCTAGGTGACTTTGGACCAGTTACTCTCTCAGCCGACATATCAGGCTCAGGCAACAAGTCAATCAATTCCTGTTCCAAGCAATGGATCAATACTAAAAATTAATAATACATTTCTTCTGAAAAATTATTTCTTAGCTGCAGTTCAGAAACAAGCTGCCCTATTTCTAATCAGACTATGATATTGTCTTCTTCACTAATTGTGTACTCATTGTGGATATGTTGATTTCCACCATACCAGAAAGTTTTAGGAAAGATCAAATTGTTTTGCTTCTACTTTGTGCATTTCAGGAATGAGAAGAAAGTTTTGAAGGGGGGGAGGCTGATTTTAGTCTGGAATTTAGGTTAAAAAAACAGTGTTTCTTTACTTATATTTTGTCTACCTAGCTAGCTATCTGTGTTGATGCATAGGGGTTCTATTTTTTACATTGCAACATCTCTTCTTAGGCTTTTAGGTACCCAAACTATAAGCCTCTTCAATCTTCTGTTGTCTGCAAGATGAAGAAAAGAAGTAAAATTTTTCAAAAATAAAATTTGAAATTCTTCCTCAAGTTTCTCTGATCCTGTCTGACATTTCTATGTGGGGCTAACTAAATACTAAACATGTTATCTCATTGTTTTTAGGTGTATTGCTAGGATGTCCTCCTAAGTGTTGAGAGGCCTTAAAATGTTCTTCCAGTCGGAGATTTTGCCTAGATGGGAATTGTGTCTTTACTTGTTTCTTACTTTTGGCTCTCATTTTTATTCTTTCTATGAAGTCTTCCAAGCTTCTCAAGGTAAGTCTCAACTTCAGACCCGTTATCTTTAGGTTTTATTTTTTGCTTTTGCAGTTTTCAATAAATCGAAAATTTTAAAAATAACAAAATCTGTAACTGCTTTCCTAAAGTCCCAAGCAGATTGTTGCATTGTGTCCTTTTGTTTGTGTCCGTGTTTCCTAGAATAGTGAGTAGCTATTATAAGATTCTTTGTAATTCATACAATGGAAAAGGAAAGCAACATAAAATAAGCAACATAAAATAATCTCTATAAGAATAAATGGGTTTGTGATGAATGTGTAGGCTGGTATATCTGGTGCCAACATATCTTTTTTTTTGCTTTGTTTGATGCATTGATTCTGTACCATAAAGTTTCCTTGATTTTTAGCAGATACATATCTGGGAGAATGTCACCTATTGTGGTGCTCATTGGCAGCAGTCAGGTGCAAAAATATGTGAGATCCTGGAAGCCAATTTACATAAGGAATCTACAATTTAGGTGTTAATTTTCTCAAAAAACACTAAAAATTGAAGATTTTTTAAAAATCGCCCTACAGTAACTTCTACATGGTATCCAGCTAACATGACTTCTGAAACTTCCAGAAATTGGTTCACATTGGACATCACTCACTATGAAAAGTTTTAGATAAAAATAATTAGCATCTGCCATTGCATCTTATAATTCACAATATACCTACCTACTTCAATTACAGCTGTACTACCAGAAGATCCTCTTTGCATAACCTGTGACAGGTTTGAATAGCTATAGATTTTCCTTTTAGCCACAGCCCTTTTCCTGGAATCCCAGAGACCCCGAGATTATAATGCAAAAAAGATTTGTTGAAAGTGCTGTGTAATTTTCTGCCAATTTTCAGTGAGAAATCAAAGAAAAAAGCGCTCTTGGTTGCTATAGAACAAAACTTTGCATGGTTCTTTTAGTGATTATGGAACGCAGTGGCTCAGTGACTAAGATGCTGAGCTTGGTGATCAGAAAGGTCTGCAGTTCGGTGGCTCGAGTCCGTAGCGCTGCGTAACGGAGTGAGCTCCCGTTACTTCTCCCAGCTTCTGCCAACTTAGCAGTTCGAAAGCATGTAAAAATGCAAGTAGAAATATAGGAACCACCTTGGTAACAGCATTCCATGCACCTTCGGCATTTAATCATGCCAGCCACCTGGCCACAGAGACGTCTTTGGACAGTACTGACTCTTCGGTTTTGAAACGGAGATGAGCACCACCCCCTAGAGTCGGGAACAACTAGCACATGTGCAAAGGGAAACTTTACCTTTATTTAGTGATTAAACACATATATTGTCACTTGTCCATTCAGTAAAATACATGCTAATTCTTCAATGTTATCTCCTCCTTTGGATGGCTTTTTTAGAGTTAGAATTAGGTGGCTCAATAATAGTCTTAGTTGTACTTGATATGTAGAAGAATAAATGTTATATGTATCTGGTATATTATTGCGTAGGGTTTGAGCTGATTACTGCCACTCCAATCCACCTCAGAAGGGTTTGATAGTATGGAAAATAGGAGGGAAGGAGTGTTATGTATGCCACTCTGAGCTCTTGAAAAAAGCTAGCATCCAAGAAAGAGAATTGCTAAAGTGACTCCTGCTATTCTTCATGTTTTCCACTAGGGGGAGATAGCATAACAGTTTTTAGAATGTTGATTAATGTATCCAATAACAAGGTGGTTTATAGAAACAATTATCATTAGGATGTTAGATGTTTTAACTTCTAACATTTCAAATTATTTTTGTCTCTAATTTTTGAACTGATAATCTATGTATAGAAAACAAAATAAAGGTACTTGATAAGAACATCCTTCATTATTTCAATGTCCTCATATTCCATCTGAGAACTCAGTCATCACAAGAAATTTATAATTTGTGGGAACAGATTGAATCTAAGCCTGGCTTTGAGTAATCTGAAACTCCCCATAAGTGTTCAACAATAATATTTTAGCACAAGAAGGTTTCTTTGATTGCTGCTGTTTTAAAAATGACCAGGTGTGGGCTTTGATATTTAGCAATGCAATTTTGTTCCAGAATAGTTCATAATGTCAAGTGGAAAGCTTAGTTAAAGAACGTTTGTGCTAAATGGACAGTATAAGTAGCTTCTTGAAAAATATGCTTTGATGGTATAGTACAAAATACTAAAAATAAATAGTCAGTGAAGTACAGTAGTAGAACTTTGTCTCTGTAGCACAATAGAAAGATGTTAAAATGGAGGAAGCAAAATAGAATGAGAAGAAGCTACTGGTAGTAATACAGAGAATTAATAGAGCATGTTTAAAATAGTAATTGTAACAGAATAGGAAACTTGAATATCCACGTGAAATGTAACACATTTGGAGAATGGTTTAATTTAGCAGATAAGACATTAGTTGTTTCTTTTTCTGGTTTATCCTAGGGTTGATGATACCCATGAATTGTCATAAATTCCTACCATTATGATTCTTATTGCTGATGTTAAAGTTCTCAGATATTTATGCTCATTTTTCATCACTGAACTGTATGGGAGGGCATTGCCTTCAAAACAATTTTTTCTGTATAATCTGTATGCGCATATCTGAGGTGGCAACAGAAACTATCCAGAGAGGTTTTCAAAAAACATTTGCTTCAGTATTGCAAATTAAAACTATTCGATTTGACGGAAGAAAAATGATTTGGAAGACGTGTGGTGCCATGTACTTTCTCTTGGCACTCATTAAATCAAATGTGTCTGTACCTCTATAGTCCTAATGCAAAATCTAAATTTCTAGATTAGATACTAGGATGGGCAGTTTTTAATGCAATTATTTACTTCTTGAGATAGACACAAGGAAGCATATTTTGGGGGTAAGGGGTAAGGGGGTTGATTAAAGCTTTATACGGACCAGCCAACATCTATGCACAATTTAGAAAATCACCAGTAATTTGAGGAGGAGGAGCCAACGTCGTGACAATATGGTCATGCGGTCTCGATGCTCTGAGACCCCAGCCAATACTTTTGCCACTGGGTGTTCCAAACGGATCTAAACCATCCCGAAGAGACGGTGAACAGGAAGAATACGTCTTGCTGATCTCCGGGATATCGCAAAATCCCTGAAAGAAGCACGAGAAGTTCTTCAAGCCAATGACAAAAAATCCAGCCAAGACTGATGAAGTCGGGGCGGCTCCAAAACGGAAGGATACGGAAAGTGAAAGTGTTTCTAGCTTGTGAGGAACTTTTACTGTTTTAAAAAAGAGACTGCCTATAAAAAATTAAAAATTAATTTAAATGGAAGAATAGAAGAATCAAGCGGTGGAATTAAATTTGGAATGGTTTTGCTGTGGGTATTTTTCTAATTCTTTTAAAGATTGGACTCCTTTTTCTAACTTGAAATACAAAAAAGATACAAAAGGAAACTTTTTAACAGTATTACTGCTGCTCAGAGACGGGGAGATTTTGTTGGTCGGAGCTTTGTGTATTCAAAACGGAACACTTTTCCCCCCCACGAATTGTTTTGACTTGGCACCACAAGGTTTTACTGCTTGGCTACAGAGAGTGATAAGAAGGGAAGCAGACAGATGTCCCTTTGAAGTATATTTCTAATCAGAAAAAAAGTGGAAACAACATTATTTGTGAATCTATGCTTTAATCTTATTAACCTTCCAAGCTAGAGCAGCTGCCTTTGTTAGAATGTCACAACTTCAAAAGAAAACAGAAGTCTCAATTTTGCAAAAGATACTTTCAGAAATACAGAAATTATCAAATATATATAAAAAATAGAGAAAAAAACTGGAATACTTAGAGCACATAACAATAAAATGTGATGAAAAAATTGAGGATGTTTATCAAATGCAAAATGGAGTGATTGAAACTCAAAAAAACAAAGTG